ATACAAAAAAAATGTTTATGGCTGCACATCTAGAAAACAATGAGAGCTGGTAAATATGTGTAGAAATTTTTACATTTAACAAGAATTCATTGGAGTCTGCGTAATTATATACTCCTGAAAGGAAAGCCATAAACTATTTGGTTATTCATAAACTGAACGCTTTGTAATTTTTCAAATAAACCACCATATGTGCACATGGAGTTAATTCGGTTGAATGTTCAATGCTTAATGTCGTTTGGGACGGTTATTCGAGGTTTAATAGACGAAAAAATTTAATCCACCATTTGTTTTTAAATCATTATAATCAAGAGATGCTACCAAGAGTCTACCGATTTTACTATTTCAGTCTGCAGAAAAATCTCTTTTAATATATGAAAAAACTCAAACACTTGAATGCATTTTAGAACCGTCTAAATAATTCTGAATAGCACTTCTAAAATGACGGTCTCTTTGCTAACATTTATATACTCTTTAGTTTATTCTTGAGCTTCCTAGTAAATGAATAGGTAATGCGCTTCCCTTGTGGACTGAAGGTCCTCGGGACAGGCAATAGATAGTTAAAATTCATTCGGTCCTGGGTTCGGTCCCTGGTGGTGTCATAGGTGAGCATTCCCGGAGAGTCTCAAGCAAGAACTAAAGAACTGTCCAGTAATTGTGCTTTTCAACAGTTCTCAAAAACAATAATTAGTCATTTTAGAATAGCACTTTTTTCTTATATGTTAAGGTTTAAGAGTGCGTGGAATTATTAAAGTGAAATAGTGTTGGTGTAGATAATTATAAGTCAAAATTTGATTAGACTTATGAATAACGCATGAATATGCTACTCACAAGCAGTGCTGATAGATCACTGAAAATATCGATTTTCAGAAAATGAACATGAACGGGCCAACAGACCAGCTTTTACAGTTTTGTTTCCATAGACAGAAAAAGGAATTTAATCCGTTGTATCTCTCTCTCTCTCAACACGGGTCTGGAGAGTTTATGGTGAAGACAGTGTCGATGATAGATTTAAACACATGAAATAAGCTTCCACAGAGAATAGGTATCCGATACGCCTTGTGGAGGCCAGTAGCGAATTCAATGAAAGAAATACAGAGAGGGACAAAGGAGTGAAGAAAGTGTTACATCTAAACTCACAATCTGGGGGTGATACTTAGAGGCTATAGATAACTGAATTATATATATAAATATAATTTTTTCTCTATAGTTTAGTTTGTAAGAGTTAGCTATGTTTTTCCGAGTTGATCACGGACTGATATCAGTTAGAGAACCATTGAAACCCAGGAGATACTGGACAGCTGCTGTTTCATCCTAGTTTGGGAATCATCAACAGTACCCACCAACGACAATGGCTGGGGTCGCGCTAAATCCCGAATTGGTAGAAGTTAGAATTCATGAGCCATTGAATCGGGTCACGGTGGCTAAATGGTATACGAGCCAGCTTGCCTTGTAACCGTAAGGTCCTGAGTTCGAAACCCAGTGGGTGCGTACTGCCGATGATTCCCAAACTAGGATGAAACAGCTGTCCAGTACTCCCTGGTTTTCAATGGTTCTCTAACTGATATCAGTCCGTGATAAATTCGGAAAAATATTTTTTTTTAACAGTAGTGTATATTTGTGCATAAGGAAACAATTGCAAATTATCTGACAGTCTTTCCACGAGAAGATATAAACATCCCGGAAATTAGATTAAGCATGATAAATTAGTGAGACATATTTTTATTCATCAATCAGGACCCATCATGCATCAGCTGACACCATTTACTGTTCACAGTATTTAACAAAATCAGACTAATAATAATAAGTCTGTGGTCAGATTTTGACCGCAGTTCATTCAATTTTCTTTATTATATTTTATCGTTTGTTCATGCCGCACATGACTGGAGATGGTTATTAAAGACAAGATGTATCTTTTTAAATATACCTAGGTTATATTTATTTTTATTAAAGAAGTTCGGACCAGTTCGCTCAATGAAACATTGGAACTACTTAGTTTAATTTCTCTGAGACTTTAGAAATATAATTTTAGCTGATTAGAAATGCCCATTAAAATTTTGAAAAGAACGGATACTGAACAAAGAGTACCCTTTTCGATAAATTCATCATCAGGCTCTACAATTATATATACATTATAGTGAATGAATGAATTAGTGTTATGAACAACATTAATGCTGTTTAAATAACATCGAAACAATAATATTGATAGATTACAGCTGAACAGCATCAACATAAAATAAGCTGAATGTCAGAAGAATTAGGAAAGATAATAGTACAAATTCATGAGTTTATAGTTTCTACTGAGAGCCAGGGCAGTAGTAGGGGCTGGACTTGTTTCTTTTGCACACAGAACACTGGTTGTTTGAGGCGAATTGCAAAAGCCTCTGCTGTTTGGAGCGTGTGGTGCTTCGATGATTTTGGTAATTTGTTAGGCACCCGGTATATGATAGAGAAGGATTCTTCTACGCTGGCTTTGTGACCGGTTTGCACCAGGTGGTCCAATATCGAACTATTAATGGTTTCTAACACCTACACCTTTACTTAGCCATAGTGGATATGTTCTCGAGCACGAAAAATCAAGTTCCTAGGGCAACGGCCAATATAACTCGCTCTAACACAAGCGCAATTGAATTGATAGATACAATTTGAAGTGGCTAGTCTAGGTACTTCATCTTTCAGTCGAGGTAGCACGTCCGTCTACTTATCACTTGGCATCTAATAATTGTGGATGGAGTAGTTTAAAAAAAGTCTAATATTCACCTAATAAATCCTCAAACTACAGATTTCCTACTTGAGAAGAATGCACTAGAGTCGAATGATAATGAAGTCATTTTACACATGTATCAAAATAATTTGTACTGTTAGTTTAAATTCAGTGATTCACTATAGCATATTCAATAGCTTATTATTTTCAACTCTTCAGTAATGACGACAAAAGTCACACGTAACCTATATCTTCTGCATTGCTGGAGCATGGGTTTAACAAAGTGAAGCTTAATACATAAAAACTGAGTTGTATGATATAAATTGGTGTAGGTAATCACTGTTAAAAGTGCATAGTGAAAACCATCAACGTGAAGGCTATTCACTGATACTGGTTTATGACAGGTTCACGTTTGACCTACTGCTTGAAGTATGAAACAAAGCAATTAACAACAGTTTATGATGTCTGTTTATTACTGTAAAACAGAGCTATCTTAAAAGGAATTCCACACACTACATTACACCTTCAGTGTATGAGACTATCTTGAGTGATTTCTGATGGATGATCGTCAAAGACATGTCGTAAATGATAGATTTATTTTGTCAGCTTTCACCAAAAATTTCTTTTTTGTCTGTGTATGATCAACAGCTCAGCAATACGGATCTCTGGCAATCAGTGAACCAACCAGGAACCGATTGTGCAACAAATATACAGGAAAAAATGGAGGTGGATTAACCGTACTCTGAGGAAACCATCAAGTGACATCACTAGACAGGACATCGCTCGAGTAGAATCCGAAGGGGAAGCGGCGAGTTGGTTGTCAGTGCGTGGGTGGGGTGATATGGAAGAGGTTATGTGAGGAGGAGATGAAAGCATGTGGGCAGACGTGGAGCCAAGTGAAAACGTTGTCAGAGAAGTGAACGCAATGGAGACGTGCGGCTGAAGCCCTATGTTCCTCTAGGAACTAAAGGAAACAATAATAATACTAATAATGATCAACAGCGTGGCAAATGATTCATTGAAAATTGGATATGCATATGCATGTATAGGTGTATACACATATATTTGCTGATAAAATTTTGGCTTGATCAACGCTTTATTTTCTTTCCGCCATCTTATAAGTAATCCTAGACTTACTATCATATGTTAAGATTACTATTATTATATGATACATTTTACTTTTTGCATTTATGGACAAAATTCGAGTTTTAAGCTATCAAGTATACAGGACACTGAGTCATATTCTGTTTATTGTGTTTAGTTAACCGGTAGTACTAATTGACTGAGCAATAAATGAAATGTGACCTGCTTATTTCATTACTTTTAATGGCTTTTAGAATTCAAATGAAGACAGTTTAAAGATAATTAGCTTACGGTTTTCAACCGATCACTATAAAGGCGAATGAGTTGCCTGTTTTCCTTCAAAATAAATGAACCGCCAAAGAAAATTAAAAGTTCATCGTCATGGAAACAAGTAAAATAATAACAGACAGCAATTTTTCCTCAGTTTTAAGCATTTTGTTCCAATAGTAATTGAATACTCAGAATGGTGAATATTAAAGTTCCAGTCAAAGAACATGGTGGTAGACAGATCAATTACTGACTATTGGCAAGACTATAGGATACGCTACGAAGGATTTCTGCATTGTGAAACACACCGGAATTATGTCTACAAGCAACAAATACATTAAAGTATTTAAGTAGATGGTGACTATCCGTGGCATCTAGGATGCTCATATTGTCCCGTCTGAAACTCGTCAACTGGATGTACCTACTATCCAAGTGAGTAGTGGTCTTCCTAATGGGATTCGGACCCAGTACCCATAATTTAAATACAAAACCATCATCCACTAGGCCACCTGAGCCGCATCTCAGTGAGAATATAGTCAGTCACACAGGAATACAAGTACATCCAACTTACGAGTCCTAGATAGTAAAAAATGTGCATTCTGATTTCCACCAACAGTCACTATCCACCAAGGTACTTTAATTTAATCCTCAGACATCGTCAAAGCGTCTGTACTAGAAGCTGACATTTCAACAGAAGCTGAACATTTGGGTACAATGAGTCAACACGAAAGTCAGAAGTGACTTAAAAGTTAATAACGAGTACCTTATCTCTGTTTGATGTAAGGATTAAATTAAGGACTTGTGGAACAATGAAGTGAACAATGCAGTGTGAAAGAAACATAGTTTAATCCTTTCATAAAATAAATAGAGCGGACATAAATTTAGTAGTTCCCTCTAATTCACCGTTAAAAATTGGTGTTATATATATATATATATATATTCAACTTACCATCTTGTCTTTGGGCACACCATGCTTTATTACTAAGATAGTGACCATATTCTGGAGTACAGGAACGCTGAGATCTTTTCCCCCGTGAACTTGAAGCAGCGAATCGAGCATAAGGCGGAATACCAATGAGATGTTTGCATGCTACAAAAACAATACAAATTAAAGCATGACTTAAGAATTTAGTAAAATGGAAATTAGGCAGTATAAATGATGCCTTATGGTTGATAGCACTTAAAGCAAATCCATGAAACAGAATAATTTCCTTAATTTTTTTGCAAGCGTCTTTTTTCCTGCTTCGTTCACATTAATCAAGTGAACCACATGAGGGGAAAAATATTTTTTTACTTTTAGCTTAAAATCTGCTAATTTTATGTTGTATGTCTTAAAAAAATATGAATATTTGCCGGCATCCGCCTATCACGAGTCTAAGAAATCAACAGTTAACGTAACACATTCGGGTTTAGAGTTGTTGTCCACAAGATCACACACAAACGGTATATGCTTAGTACTAAAATTCATTACACTGAATTACTTCTTTCACTGAAGTTTACTCGAAAAATTTTAGAAGAGGATTTGACGATGTACATTTTTCTATTAAAAGGTAATGCGAATTTTTTACAGTATGCTAAAGCTGCATTTACAAATTTGTCAACCAGTTACGGAAAAAGCTGTTCGCGTGAAATATCGGTAAAAGTATACAGCAGTAACAATTAAATTGTGATAAGGAAAATCGGGATACTGTAAGTTCGTTATATCAAGTTAAAGGCGAAACACATTTTAACATTTTCATGACTGAATCACTTTCTGTATATCAAACTCAAGAAATAAATTTGAACACAGTATAACTAATAGATGAAATATCGGAAATTCACTTAGACTAGCGTAATACAATCATAACTAATTAATCATTAAATTTCTTCTGGCCTTGCACTTCTTCTGAATTTTATCTTCACCTTAGAATGTATTCCAGTTGGTAAAACCACAGTATCAAAGCTGTGGTGTATGCATTTTTAAATGAAGTGGCAAAGTAAAGTGATTCCAAGATATAGAAAATCAAAACAAATGATTCAGCGAAGAGACTCTTTTCAACGAATTTATCATCAAGCTGTACAATCGTATATATATGGTTTTTAAGAAGTTATATCCGGTGAGGGAATTAAATCATAGGTGTGAATGCATAAAATAATAATAATATGAAGTGCAATTAAAACTAAAATGTGTGGAGCTCGTGTGGAGCTAGGTATATCGGTCGTTCGACACGAGTTTTGTCCAAGAGGGTGCAAGAACACTATCCTACATGGTTACGAAGAGGTGGAAGTGGAGCAATAAGAAGCGCGATCATTGAACATCTGGTCGATAATGATCACCCTATCTCTATAGCCTCCGTCTTTAAAGTCATCTACAAGGCAAAGAGTAATTTACCCAAATCCCTACGTACCCCACTCATCTGTATCGCTGAATCTTTGGCTATCGAAATAGAAAAGCCAGATCTCTGTGTAAAGAAAAAGTTCGTTCAACCCCTCCAGCTCTCGTGGTTTTAATCCCTCTATGCTAAAGTATGGTAATCCCCAATCATATTTTAGCTCCACCAATTTTTCCATTTTTCCTTTTGTCTATTCAATTTGTATACTCTTCCTTACTAAGTCAATTGTTACTATTACTACTCTCACTTTTAACTGTCCCCGGTATTATTTCACTTGTTCCACTTGTCATTCTAAATCAATTCCTTTATGCAACATTAAATTCTATGCTATTAAATTTCACACAATATTACGTAACGTTTTTATTTTTTCGATTTGTCTACTAATCTTATAATTGCACAACCCTTTTCAAGTTCTATCCATCCTATGAATTATTCTATATATGACATTAATTTGCTCTGCCACTTGACATTTAACTACGATTTAGTTTTAATTACATTTCATATTATTATTATTTTATGCATTCACACCTATGATTTAATTCCCTCACCGGATATAACTTCTTAAAAACCATATATATACGATTGTACAGCTTGATGATAAATTCGTTGAAAAGAGTCTCTTCGTTGAATCATTTGTTTTGATTTTCTACATGTTACAAAGGGAATTTTCCATGATTCCAAGATATCTTGCAATAATTACTAGTTGAGATGAACTAAACGTTTTAAGAAAAACTGATGCAGGAGAATTTCCTTCACATTTATAAGCAATCACAGAAACGCTCAGTAAAACACTTCTTAGATGTAATTCGAAAGTACTTACATTCCTACCAGTTCCACTATAACTCCATTAAACATGCCCCAATACTTTCGTGATGAGTCAAACATCCTTACAAATCCCTATGTTACTATCAAATGATATGACTAGATAAGACTAGTATACTGTTTCTCAAAATAACACTCATTGTTAAATGATCCTAGGCGCATCCTTCACCCCCTTTGGAATTCTTCATCTGAATGTACCTGAGTGAAGTTGTTCCTATGTGCAGCAAGCAGTTACAGGAGTGAGACAAGACGTTATCAAGTGTCGCGGTGAAAATATCTTCAAGAAATACCAAAGATATGAAAAATCTGTTTCATACAGAGAAGCTTAAACACGTTTCAACTTATTCCTAGTCGAATATTAATTATATTTTATCACTGAGACTAAAAGCGGTAAAGGAGACATAAATTCTCAACTATTAACCCTACTGAGCGTAATACTAATACTATAAGGCTGTTGCGTTTCGATCATTTAAACACTTACCATTGTTATTTTACTTAGGGGATGACGAATAGCAATAGAATCTACGATGCTCATTTCTTCCACTTCGAGACTCTTCAACTTGACGCTTTTTCATTCCTTAGTGATTTAGGGTGTTCCTCCTGAGACTCAAACCCACCCCTAGTCATGTGAAATGGAAAAGCATTATTTACTAGAACAGTCGGGGCATGGGGACCACTTATTGTGCAAAGGATATTAATTGTTTTGGTGTGGTTGTGTTCTCTGAGCTGGATAGTTAATTTGCGAAGCTTTCATCACCCTACTGGGTGACATCTTCAGCGCATACTTCAATTTGTTGAAGTGAGCTTTTAGATTTCTCCACGAGTTTATTAATCATCTCTCCTTGTGACCTTGGGCGTGATTGGTTACTTTTGTGTGTTTTCACACCTTCTAGGTTACTTGCGTTGGAACTGATTGTTGATTGCATCACTGCTTCTGCAATCAAACCTGATGTTGGCGATCCCATGGGTGTTCCTTTGACTTGTTCATATATTTAGCCGTTGAATTGGAAGTACGTTGTTAGGCATAGGTTTATGCATTCCATCCAGCTTGTGTGTTGCATTTTTGATTATTAAGGGAGGTGTTCATCGTTGCTGAGTAATTGTTCCATGGTCTCCTTTGCTAGTTTTTGTCCGATTGAGGTATATAATGCTGTGACGTCAAAGGATATCACTATCGCTTGTTCATCTATTTGGATGCCTCTGATTTTCTCTAGGAATTGGATAGGGGAGTTGATGGAGTGATCACAAGATTCTGTTAGGTGTTTCAGTTTTCTGTATAATTCTTTGGATAAATTATATGTTGGAGTTCCCTGGAGTGATACAATTGGTCGTAACGGGATATTTGGCTTGTGTATTTTGGGTCTGCCGTAGAATCAGAGTAGGACTGGTCCAGTGGATTTCATTCGCCATTGGTCTTGTTTTGTGATTTGTCCAGTTTTGGTGAGCTTGTTTAAGGTCCTTTGGATGTGGTTGTTCAATGTTTGTATGGGATTTGTTGGTATTATTATTTGCTTAATTTTTTAATCTTGTATTTCCAGCAGGATGGAAATGTTCAGTCTCTGCTGGCATATTGGCTCCTACTACAGATACTTTAACGTCGTCACTTGAAACAATACGTTCTAGACTCGAGTCTCAGTGGAAACATCATCACCGACTTGGAAAGTAAGTACATCTAACTGATCACTCCCAAACAGGACTAAATGAGCATCCTAGATTGCACTCCTAGTCACTATTCAGCATGTAAGATCATATTAATCCTCAAATGTCATCGAATCATTTACATTAAGCGCCGACATGTCAACAGTGACTGAAAATTCTGGACCAATGTAATCAACGAGTGGGAAATAGGAAATTTAAAAAAAATAAATCACCGTGTAGCCTTAAACACTAATTGTCTAGTTATATCCGAAGGTATATTTACACAGTATTTTCTTCAAAGTTTCTTATTACTCTAAACATCAGAGTGTTCTAACAAGGCCTTCTCCGATCTTCTAAAGTTAGAATAAACTGTCTGAATAAACAGCAACTTAACAACTTATGAGAAATAAATACCAATAATATCAATGCAAAAAAAGTTACTGAAATTAATACGCTTACTTTGACAACCAATCAATTCAACTCTAAGACTTGGATGGTTATGCCATGTATACGTGTGAATTTTCACATATCTTGCTCGGATAGGCTCATCAAAGTAATTATGTTTCACTGTATAAGAATCTGAATTTCCTTCGAAGATCTAATGAAAGAAATTAAATTTAATAAGTTGCAACATATTAATTCGCATCAGCAAATATCGAGTTAGCTTAAAATGTTAATCCTGTTTAAATAAGCTTCCGCCTTTCTTAATACGTACTGTAGTTTGTAGATCTAGTTGCAATTGTAGTGGAGGGGTTACAACAGCCCATGTCATACTCAGAAATTATTTACGTATTTGAAACAGACTGAGTCGCTGCTTTCTTATACACAATTTCCCCACTTTCCGCTGTTAATACTGGAAGATTTTTAGTGGTAATCTGTAGAATAACATTTTTTAAAATCTCCACTTAGGAACCAACCTTTGATATAACTATTTGTGCCAACTTCAAAGAAAACTGCAGATCCACAGCTATATTAGCAGTTACTACTGATGTTTCAACAGATAACCCCTTTTCAAAGCAATCAGTTGAATTATTCTTACTATTTTCAACCAAAGAAGTCTGATAAAAGTACGAATTTAATCGAAGCATTTCCCTCTTTGAGAGTGTAAATATCCATAGTCATCAAACTACCAAAAAGCCTCATTTTTCTACAGCTTCCTCATCTGACTCTACAATTTTCATTCTCATATGTTAAAAGCAACAATATAGAGATTTAAAACTTGTAAAACATAGAATTAAAGTAGACCAGTAATTGACTGTCGTGTCATAACTAAAAGACATGATGATCCTGTTTCAGCTAAATAAAGTGTTTCTTTTCGTGATATGAGACGTTCTTTGTGATTTGTGAAATTTTTCTGGTTGATTTCAGTATCGCCAACATCAGTCTTGTGGTCTGATTCTAAAACCTGAAGACTGATGTTTTCCCAAGATTTTCTAGTACAAATTGACTTCTCGGTGGTCGATTCCAGGCTCTACGATGTTCATTTCATTTTGATCTTGACTCCTTGTGACGTTTCACTAACGTATATTGCATCACATCCCAAGCATTTTATTTCATAAACCTAATTAGAGTTTCAGTCTTTCGGAATTCAGTCTTTTACATAGACAAGGTTAATTTTCCGCACATCTGATATTTTGAAGGAAACTCTGATGATATGTTTGTTGTGTACTCTTTTGATATCTTTTGGTATTTCTAATCTATATGAGAAGCACTTAGTATTAAATGGAACCCAATTTGTCTCGATAGAAACGACGGACTAAGACAGAAATTGATGGGGTTCCAACACTCCACCCCTCCAGTGAGTGACAAAATCAATACAGATTTGATAAGCAATTTCGTTATGCAAACACATGTTGTGTTTCATAATTTCATACACTTATAAAATATAACAAGCCGCACATGGTTTGTTATCTTTACCAGCTGACCAGCCTGACAATGTGAAAATTACATCATGTTGAAGAACGACGATTAAGTTACTGTATATAGGCTGAGATTTTGTAAATAATGCTTTAATACTACTTTGATGAAGCTATTAGAAGCATTAAATAGCATCAGTAGACATCAGAAGAAACAATATTGGTTGTTTTTATTCATTGGGAAATTAAAAAAACTTGGTAGCAATTAATTCTTGAGTATGGATCAAAAACATCAGCCACCTGCAACTAAAGCAGCTGCTCAAAATAAGTTAAATTGCAGCACATTTTGTCATATAATATCTAAAAATTAATTTCTAATTCTAATACCGCCAGTAAATAACTATGCCGTAGCTCATACTCAAAAATTTATAGGACGATTCGATCTTGTGCGTCGAAAATAATGATACAGCTAGAAGCAGAGATACGAAATGTGATAAGAATATCAGAATTGATAGCGGAGATGCCCATAAAATGTCACTGAAGTCTAAAGTATTGCTCTGAAGTAAATCTTATAGGTTTAAGCGTATTATCGACAGTATAAACACAATAATTTCATTTATTATACATCAGGCATTAGTCACGATATGGAGTGTATTGTTTGAATTAAGAGTTGATAGTCTTTTAGGTTGTCAAAACTTGAACATAGGTTATTTTTGCACCAACCACTACGCAACTAAAAGTTGTAATGAGAGAGAGCCACATTACTGAGGGTCAAAAAATTGGCACTATTTAGTACAATAGCACAATTCAACTTCTATGGATATTTTCAGGAGTTTATTTGTAGGTATTTGATTTGTTTCAAGTTCTGATCATGGATTTATATCAGTTAAAGAACCATGAGAAAACCTGCGTGTATTGGACAGCTGTTTTATCCTAGTTTGGGACTCATAGACAGTAAGTACACACCGGGTTACGAACCAGAAACCTTCCGCTTACAAGGCAAGGTCTTAGACCACTCTGCTACTCGGACCAAACTCAATGGCCAGCTCATGAATTCTAAATTCTACCAATTTGTGATTTTAGTGCGACAACCGACTAATGTCATCGGCAGGTACTATTCCTCACTGTCGACAGGATGGACCTCACTGGTCATGACTTCTCGCTAGAACTCCAGACCACATTGTGAATATGTTAAGTACCATTACCAGCAAAATGAAAAAAGTTACAAATGAACTGTGCTTTTTTCTTCCTTCACGTTCCTCAGTTGAACATAGGGCTTCAAGTCAGTGGTTTGAAGTTTCTGTAGCAGTGTTTATTTTACAGGATGGGGTTGCTAGCCTCATGCCCAACCTTTCCTCTTCACCAGCATTATTTCTGGCTTAGCGAGGTAAGGGAGTGCGTCGGCCGCGGATCGAATCCCGAACCATGTGTAACTGTCATTATATACTTATAAGCAGTGGCTCAAACGTAACCCAGTCAGTAATATTGTATCACGTACCGCATTGTTATGTAAACAAGTTTATTATGAAAAGTGGAACATTATTGGTTCACACATTTCGCAGAACGTTTGACAGTGTTCGCTGAGATAATTCAGTGACGGTAGAAGAGGGAGGGTGACCAGCATTTCAGTGAACAACATGCTCTTAAGAAGCCATGAATATTGTTGAGCTTCTTCAAAATGAAGTAGTACATAGTGTTCAAATGATTTGTTTGCAACGTACTTAACTGAGATCCAATTAGTAAATCCATGAAGTACACCTTCATTCTTCTCACTAAAAATATTCCAAAGGTAAATGTAGGATATTTTGCGAACGGTGTATTTCTTATTCACTATGATGTAGTTTCCTTTCTTGACATTAGATCATGAAAAGCCTAAAATACTAAGGAGACATGTTGAGATGCGCCAACAAACAGAAAATTTGGTTTCCCGCTATTTCGACAATCAACTATTCCCCTGAAGTACATTGTTTCGTGTGTGGAGTGACTTTAATAGGTAGACTTCTCCTGTTTAAATTACGCTAATCGTAATCTACTGGTTAGACATGAGATGGGCCAAGTTAAACTTTAAGCACCACTAAGCACCAATCAGCAAATAACCTCAAACGCACCAACCACGTGAAGGAGGCATTTTTGTGTATTGAATGCACATATTTGTGAAAAAAAATGCTTAAGAACTGTAGAAAAGTGTTGCAAAGGATAGCTTCCTCGCACATGTGACAAAGATAGCTCTCAGTTTTAGGTTGAAGTGTCAATAGAGTGTAATTCCACTGCGGGTAAAATTTATTTTGATGAAGTCCCATATTTACTGAGCAATAAAATGTGCTCGAAACGTCATCAGTAAATATTACCGTATAACAATATGAGACTCTATCAAAATAAATTCACCTACAATAGAACTATACTCTTTTGATACTCCAACCTGAAACTGAGAGCTATTTTTATCACATGTGAGAGGAAGGTATCCTCAATAACTGTTTTACACAGTTTTTACGCATTTTTACTTACAGTGGAATTATACTCTACCAGAGTGCACAAGTTCTATTCTTATATCAACAGAGTAATTTAACTACATTCTATGCATGTAATTATTTAGGTCTTCTAACCCTAACAGTAACACTAATCTTTCCTGAACCTAACCCTAACGTGAAAATATCCCTAAACTAACTGTAATCTAACTCTAACCAACCCTGATGTCTCCTTTATTAGATTAATCTAACCCTAATTTCTCTTTGGCTTAAACCCGAACTTAATCTTTCCCAAAGCTAAGCTGAAACTTCCCAGATATCCCATTTAATGACCTAACACTTCGATGAGCATATTTTATTGATGATGACAATATTATTTGCCAAGTTTCACTAACTTGCTCAGTGAGCGTTTCAAGGTCATTGGTGCGGTCGCACTCCATTGGTAGGTAGTGATGCTTAAAGTTTAACTTTGCCCTGAGGTGTTGACGTTAATCCAATTACCAGAAAGCTTCGCATTACAGTATATAAGTCATAAAAGTGAAGTTTAAGCCGAGTATCGTCATAATATTTCTTTTGAAATATTTACCCAGTAATAGCTGATTGCATAAACCAAATGCATGAAGTATTACAATCCAAATCATTCACAAAATACACAGTCAACCTGCTGACTAAAGAGAAGTAATTGACACCCATGGCTTTGTTTGTTGAAATTGGTAGTGAATAAAAAATTTTTATTCAAAAGCCATACTTTACAGTTACTGTTTATTCCATAAAAATTAATTTGCTAGAATATGTTTGGAAAATCTATCAATAAATCTGACTCTGACTAATTGACTATCTACGTGTGTAGCCAAAACCGATCCGCCTATTCTACTTTTATTTTCAATTTTTCCATAAACCAAGTCTCCGGTACTGCCTCATTTATTACAGTTTTGCCTATATCCCTATGATTGTTAAAAAAATCTTTTTATTGTTTTCTGTAAGCAACCGGGGGGGGGGGAGTGGATCCAGAAGGCAAAATGCATACGCAGAACCAGAAAGGAGAACAAAACACCACGACGTGAACTATTTTATTATGTCTCTTAAAATTTGCATATGGAATCAATAATTTTATTCCCTTTGACTTTGTAGTAGTAATTTTATACTTGAACATAAACATGACTTGTTTAGAAGAAAAAGAAAGCCATGGTAATAATACCATCCCATGCTGAAGGAATATAGTAAAACCTAGACAACTTTTACCAACTGTAGGGATTCTAGTTAAACTTGAAAAAACTAACAAGTCAAGAAATATGTTTGACTTTTACGAGTTGGAGATTTTTAAAACACCCAACATACTCTATTGCTCATGTAAAATATACCATGCTTTCTGTATAGAAATTTATATACTGGACAAATAAGTAATCGTCGTGTAGTTCCTATGTTGATATAGTTGTGTTCTCTGAGCTGGATGGTTTATTTGCGAAGCTTTCATTGCCCTACTGGGCAATTTGAAGTGAGCATTCAGATTTCTCCACTAGTTTATTAGTCATCTCCTCTGGTGACCTTGGGCGTGACTGGTTGTTTTTGTATGTTTTCACATCCACTAAGTTACCTGTATTGGTACTGACTGTTTCCTTGACCTGAAGTTGGGTCATTTATGTGTGTGAGATTTCCTACTTATCGATTGGTAAATTTTGTCTGTGTCAATCTGTCTGTTAATTGACGATTCACTGGAATACCAGGCTTCTAAAACTTCTCTAGCATTCTTGGTTTTCCCCTGTCTAATGCTCGAACCTTGTCCCGGTCGAATTGATGTCCGTGGTTGTCCGTATGCAGCAGTATGGGTGATTGGATATCATGCCTTTTGACGGCTAGTTTATGTACATGGATAGCAAATGCTTATCTTCTGGTTTTACGCTTTAAAATATGGATTTCGCTTCAGTTTCTAGTATAACAGGAAACTTAAAAGGCTGCTATTAGAATATCTGCAGATTGAAATTTCTAAGGCACGACTAACTTGATGTTTGTGTATGTAACAATTTTAATAAAAATTATGTAACAAAGTCTATATAAAACAACCAGTTATAAATAACGAAAATTTTCAAGTGTTACTCTACAGAGATTTGATTGATTTTAGGTTTGATCACGGATGGATGTCAGTTAGAAAACCATTGAAAACGAAGACGTGCTGTCTAAATGTTTCATCCTCGTACGCGACTCTTCAGTAGTACGCACCCATGACTCCTCTAGTGTTCAATGAGGGCTAGTAAGTTAGATTTATCGACAGAGACTGGCCAGTGATATTAGTTGTCAATGGAACCATATTTCTGCAATTTGCAAGAAGTTTAAATTCATGGAATATATGTGTATAACTTGGGCACTGTGGTAGTAAGTAATTCCATATTAGTTTGTTTATTAGATATATCACACAGTGAAACAGTATTATTTACTGGATGACGTTTCAAACAAAATTTATTGTTCATAATCATAATGACGACACCAACAATAAGGAATCTAAATCATCAGTAGAAATTCCATACAAGGAAGGAACCTCGGAAGTCTTTCGCAGAATTCTTAACAAGGCAGGAATAAAAATGGCATTCAAACCCACAAACTCAATTAGAAACAAGCTTTGTCGATTAAAAGATCAATCCTGTGGAGTCTTTAAAACGAAACAATTTAGTTTATCTAATACTCTACCTGCGATGATTGTCAGGTCAAATACATAGGTCAAACTAGTAGAACAGAGGCAGTCAGATTAGTCGAACGTGAAAACCTGGTAAAATATAGATTAGTTGACCCGAATAAGATAAGAAATCTAGAGAATAGTTCAGCTATAGCACTAAATGCAGTTACACGCAACCATACAATAGAATGATGGGATATGATGACAGTTTTAAAATCTAATGTAACAGGGTTTGAGGGAGGGATAGATTGATAACAGAAGCTTTGTTTATCGAATCAACTGCAAATACATGTAATAGGAATGATTTATCACCTGTCCCCGATATCTGGAAAATTCTACTACCCCAACGACGAAAAATAGGAGAGGACAAAGAAAACTATAAAACTGAAGTTTCGAAGTTGTGTGATCATAATTGGTGAAATGATTATGAACAATAAATTTTGTTCGAAAAACTTCATCCAGTAAATAATACTGTTTCACTGTGTGATATATCTAATAAACAAACTAATATGGAATTAAATTCATGGGCATTTGTAATGCATTTCATTGGCTCACCTTGTGCGATGAAGATCATGGATTAAACTCCCAGTGGGTCATGGGTATGTACTACCAAACAATTCTAAACTACAACGAAAAAGTTATCCAGTGCTCCCTGGCTTTCAATAATTCGCCTAGTGATATCAATCCGTGATCAAACGTGAAACGCAAATTATTCTCTCAGTAGGGAAAATATTACGTTATTTCTTTTTGTTAGTTAACGCATGTATCAAAAAATTTAATTTACTTGCAGTAAAAGAATTTACAGTAAAATGTTAACCGAAATAAGAGTTAATAACATGATATTCATGTCCCTGTCATTGCATAACAATGAAAAATTAGTCAAATAGGCAGGGGAAAACTCAAATACATACACATATATACATATATAATTCCATGAAGGATACGAACACGCCTGCTAATCTGATATCAGATTGGTATACCAATTTGCTGGGAGATAAAAGTCGAAAAAGCCAAAGAAATCAGGGTACAGAGTAACTTTAATGATAACTGTACAACGCTGCTGCTTCGAACAAATAAAAAGAACACTTCATGTATACACCAGTCTAAGCGTGAAACAATCAACTGAGGCGGGGTAGTATCACTTCTTAGCTGTTAATAGAAACAATTGAACATGATCAACTTATGTATGTACATATTTGTTTTTCTCAATGACCTATATTGTAATTCCTCTAATTCATTCGTTTAATATAATGCTAGTTTACATGATTATATGTGTATGCATACACGTAGACAATGGAAAGAAAACCCTCTCCCCCTTTTCTTTGTAATAAATTCATACTCATTACACTGTTTCTAATAATTAAGCAGTCGGATATAAGGAATATTTTATTATACGAAAAAAGGAAACCCTTCGGCGCCAAATAATAAAACATAAAATGTGCTTGTTATCCCGGATACAATAGCGTTTTTTTTTTTAGTTTGGTCTGTCAAGTATTTATTACCCAGTAACTACATGTAGAAACAAATAATTATATATATATGATGAGTTTTACAATGTAGAAAGAAATCAATGATCAAACAATCCCTTGAAGAAACTCATAATGCTTTTGTTTCTATGCGTTGTACACACAGAAAACCCATATTCTTTGGTGTGGTTAGTTGTTAAAAATCATTTAACATGGTTATTTAATATTATTATTATTGTTATTCCAATCCTTTGCGTTACAAATAGGACATAGGGTTTCAAGCTTGAGCCTTGGAGTTTTAGTAGCGATGGTGTTTGTTTATAGAGTGAAGTTGTTAGCCTTATGCCTAACCTTCCATCTTTATCGGGCCTGCTACTGGCTAAGTGAGGCTGAGGAGTGAGTCAGCTAGGAATTGAACTTCAGGTTATTTACATGGTTGGCGAGTATTCTATTGCTGAACATCCGACGCACAAAATGATTATCCCTAGAAGCAATTTAGGCTGGATTGTAATTTCATTATCTTATTACAAAAAATGTACGAAATTCATTGTAAACGTTGTAAGCTAAAGTAGGGTGGTATCAAAGTTAGGCTTGTTTACTAAAAACGTAACTACAAGCTATTCCGGAGAGTGTTCATTAATTGCAGATCCCAACAGTTATCCACAGAAATGAGTTTTGCTAAGTGAGCTTCAGATTATCCAGTTAACATAAGTAGCTACCGAAATAGCCAAAGACATTTAAGGGAGGCTACTTTATCACTGACCTTAAGGAATGTTGAAAATGGTACGATAGGGAATTGAGTAATGAAGTTATAAGAACAATTCATGATTTGAGTTCAAAAGGTCACTCCATTACCAATTATGCATGGCAGTGTTCTATACTTATAAAAGTTTTAAAATGGTAACTGTTTCTAAAAAAAATTAAAATATATTTCAGTTTGTAGATTTTCGCCACTACCCAACATTAGTTAGAGAGATCACTGAAGACCAGGGTGCACTGAACAGACATTTCGTCTCATTCCTGCAATCCTCAACAGTGGGCAACTACAACTCCATCAGCGATGGGATCCAGAACTTTCAGGTTCAGCTTGTTGACCATTCAGCTACTTGGACTGGAATTCATTCACCCCTGAATCTTAACTTAAGAATCAGTGCAATTAATACAGTAAAACAACTGAATACACGAATTTCAAAAGTGATCTATATTGAGTCATCGAGTAAGTTCATTGTTATTCTCCCCGTAGCACTGCAAACTTTGTGGATTGCTAACTAGTGGGTTCTAACTGATTAACTGAGGCTATCATTTTGCATTATTTAAATAACATATACATATGAAGTATCAGTATTAACAACTTTATAAGCAACGTACTTTTTGATTGGCATATTGATCTGTGATAAATTTCCAGTGCATAGCATCGTCACTGTAAGATACCATGAATGAAGTAACCCATTCTGAACCATCTCCTCGACCTTGTGTCATAATACCTGTCACCTGAAAGATATTAATCAAAATAAAATAAATTTTCTCACAGGTTTCGACATCTACGTAGAAAGTTCAGATTTCTGATTCTGTAATGTCTTTTCACTTGTACAAAAGCAATTACAAGTGTAAAGTGCTTCACTGTTTCAGCATATTTTATTAATAATATTGTTTTCATGAGGTGATCTTGAACAAAGCGGAAACAACAAATTGAGCGGGATAATATAATGCTGTTTTATTTTGTTGGTTATTTTTGTAGGAAAAAGTGAAAAATAGTCTGTTCAAGACAGTAGATAGAAATACTGAAATTACACTACCAAAACAAAGATAATTAGAATGTCAAACAGTGCACTTTCACACCCTTCATTAAGTGTCTATCTAAGCTATTGGTCGAAGAAGTTGTTGACATTTTTCAAATGAATTACCCAACACTTACTTAAATATGTTGTCGAAATCACGTGTAAATTAAATTTGCAAAGTTCATTTCCAGAATGCTTTCGTAATTCAGGCTTAATATCACGGACTAATATTAGTCATAGAACCATTAAATACCAGCAACTACTAGACAGCCCTTTCGTCCTTGTTTATGACTCTTCATCAGTATGTACCCATGATTTCACCTGGGAATCAAAGGCGGAATCTACAGGTTACAAGGTGAGCTCTTTGACCATTCAGTAACTGTGACAGAATCCAGTGGCTGATGACTTCTCATTTCTCTCAATTCGCCGTATATAGCGCCACTCCCGTAGTGGTGTCATTCATGAATATGTTCACTATTACCTGACTACAGAAAGAAATTGCTTGAAATCCTAGTGGCAATACGTGACCAGTGGGGTCCATCAGATTGTGTGTCAGAAGAAATACTCGCCAATGTTACTGGTTAGAGGTGGCGCTAAAAATCGCGAATGCTTGTGCCACTGGATTGATGAGTGCGTAATGCTGGGTGGTCCAAGACTTTAACTAAACAGCTGACCAGTAGTCCTCCGTTTTCAGTGGTGCCCTAACTGATATTGATGCGTGACCAAACTTGGGACTTAATTTGTCTAATAGTTCCCAGGTAAAATTACATTCAGTACTTGTCAGAAAGGTTGTCTGAAAATATTCATGTTTGAGATAAACCTCAAAGAAAAGCTCTTCTTTGAGAAATAACTGATGTGTTTCTCATTGATGATCGAAAATTTTCACACATGAACAGTTTACCACCTTTACCGGTTTATTTCATTTGGTTCACAGTGTTTAATAAAACATCAGCTGTATATTCAACTCGTTCTGTTAGACAGTGAGTAGTGATTTTTATTTGTTCCTAAACAGAGTTAGCTAGGTTTACCGAGGAACAGTAAATTACAGATAAGAGTTACCCTTCCCAGTGATATTGTAACAATAGAAGGCAAGACACGGAAACCAAGGTATCTTTTTCATTGATCAAACCGCTGTTTACATATATATATATATATATATATATATATACAGTTTACATTCTCTATCCAATCACTGAGCGTGTGATTTCGGTTCACATCAAACGACATGAAGTACAAAGTTCAAATAGATATATGTAGTATTCTGTTGCTGATGACTAATTGAAATGTGAGAATCATACTCCGTTTGGAACACATTGTCTGTATCACACCACCACCACAGTATCATTCTCCAATTGTCTGTACGATATACTGTTTTAGCGGCAAAAGGATTGTTTGCAAAAAGGCTTATTAATAAGGAGACTCTAGAAACCATCATATAGGGCAGAAGCAATAATCAAGTACAGACTGATGCAAAATTAAGCAAACAATTTGAGAGGCGTATCATGATTGACACTAGTGAGTACAATCAAACTAAAAATTGAATGAAGGTCGAGCCAAAATCACTGTCATTAGAAGAACGTGTGTAATAGTTTAATATAAAAATAACTAAAACTCGAAAACAAAACTTATTCGAATCAAGTTGTAGTCCATATTTACTTTTCAAACTCATTCATAATAACAAGACAGAAAATCAAGACACGTTTGCTAGACGACTTCAATTATTTGCACATCAGCATGGCATAAAGATTTATCAAACTTCTTCATGTTATCTCCAGAGTATAGATGGTACTGAATAAATTTAGTGGATTTTTATTACTATTTCATGGAGTGGGTCAGATTACATCGTTAGCAGTTGCTTGACCAAATTAGTTCACTTTCCAGAGTATTGAATATCGAATCGTTTCCTAAACACGATTTTTAAAGTGCCATGCATTACTGCAAATTGTTTCCCGCTTCTTTGCCACCTAAGTGGAGCACCGAGATTGAAGTTTGCACTTCGGAGTTCCAATAGAGATCGTGCTGTTCTTACCGGGCAGGGGGATGTTAACGTCACACCTAACATTACCTGCTTACCGAGCATCCCACCAGCAAGAGGTCTGGTATTGCTTCAAACAGGAATCGAACCCCAAACCCTGTGCGTGGTTGACAATAATTTTATCACTGAATCACCAATATCAAGTTATTTCAATTCCTTTTTTAATATAACACAATTACTTAGTTTATGTGATCACGTGTCATTAAGAAATAAGGCTTAAAATGGTGATATCAAATCAACAGAAAAACGAATACACAATATTTTTCTTCTGCTTAAACCGACAACAAATGAATAAGTTGACCTATTTTGGTTGCTTAAAATTCATTTTCATTACTTGTAAATGATAAGCGGTTTATTCGCCTTTTTTATTGCCTAATAGTTTAACCAGATTACTAACTGCCGTTGCATGGTCAATTACAACCAGAAAATACTGTACAGATAGATATGTTCATATAAACTGGAAAGCTAACATGTTCATTTATCTTCGGTTACCACCACCCTCTCCCCAGAAAAATAGAATGCATTACTTTTAAAACCAAAGAACAAAGGAACGATAATAATAATAATACAAAATGTATTTCATGCGTTTTTAAACGGGCGCCAGAGAAAAACTATTGTTTTGCTATTCTTTTTTACTATGTAAAATTGTTAACATGTAGAAATAGAATTGTGCGACAAAATGGACTACGATTATTACCCTACTAATGATTGTCTTTAGCAGTTGAGACTGGAAACAGTAGTTTTTAGTGCTTACCAAACCAAAGACTCTTTTGTTCTACTTAAATCATTATTGTGAAACATTTTTTGGAAAGTAAAATGATTCTAAAACTTTATTTGCTACAATAATGTAATGTTGTAATATATTCACTTTCGTTATTTATTATTAAGACGTCTGTAAATTAATACCGCAGTGTTCAAGACTTACATTTCCAAGATGACAAATACAATACATTCTCACTTTACAGAAAATTAATAGTGTAGGTTGCGGAATTTTTTGGACTTGCAATCAGTCATTTTTGGCTGTAAATCATAGTTAACTAAGATGTGGATGCATTCAACAGCTAATATACATGATCTACTGAGAAAAATGATCCGCTATCCTACTTTATACCAAAATGAATAATGATGGTGCGTTGGTTCTTGAGGAGAGTTTCTCTCAGCATTTATTTTCTCTAAACGATTCAAAGAAATCATAAACGTTTACTCAAAAATAAACAGTATATTATTATTATTGTTCCCTTGAGTTCCGAGTGAAACATAGGACTTCAAAAACAGTTCTCCACTTTGTTCTGTTATCTACTGTCCCCTTCACCTAGGCCCGCGGTTGCTCATAATCTCTCATTTCTTCCATGTCACCATCGGAGGACCCACTCATTGTTTCCCATTCGGGTTCCACTCGAGGGCCTGGTACGCCCTGTCATTCGATCGCCTCCTCAGTGTATGCCCTATCCATCTCCATTTTCTCCTACAAATTTGTTGAGCGATTGGCTGTTAGTTGGTTTGTTCCCAGACAGAGTTTCTTGTTGCTAATACTGGCTGGCTGGTCATTTGATCTACAGCATGCAGCCAGAGAAGGCAGCTGTTGATAAAAGTCTGTAACTTATTGGAAAACCTTTTCGTGACATGCAGTGCAAGTTTCTCACTAGTATAGAAGCACTGATTGATTTCAGATTTGTGCTGAAAGTCCGAATCTTATTCTTCATGCTGAGGCTGAGTGCAGAAGATTTCCAAACTGATTTCAATTTGATGAAGGCGTATCTTGCCTTTTCGATTCCGGCTAGCTTTGGTATCCTCATCCGTTCCACCTGTAGTTGAAACAATGCTTCCTAGATAAGTGAAGGAAGTGACCTCTTTCAAGTTTCTCCCGTTGATAGTAATTGGTGCTGTTTGTTGTCGCTGTTGGCTGGTTATCTAACGTTTACTTCCTTAAAAATAAGCAGTATAGTAGACTCAATTACAAGTGCTTCTCAGTGAATAGATAATTTCTCCAGGATTTAAATTTACCTATCAGTTGTTTCTTTCCTAGACTGCAAAAATGCATTTTAAATGCCGCAATACATACATATTAGTGTTTGTGTTACCTATATTTTTTCTCGCTCTTTTGTGTTACAGTTGGAATACAGGACTTTAAGCGTCAGCTATGAAGTTTCAGTAGTGGAGGAATTGTTCGATGGAGTGCCATTGTTAGCCCCACATCCAACCTTCCCCAGTCACCAGGATCACTACCTGCTGACTAAAGTCTAAGGGTGCATCAGCTGGGGTCAAACCCTGACCACCTGCATGATTGGTAAGCACTGAAACACTAAAGCGTACATTACATACATAAAAAGTTTCGCCAGAGACAGAAATACAGGTGTCAGTCTGCATACCGGCGATTACAAGTAGGCATTCTAAGGTATGATTAAAAAGTGGAGCAAACTGAGCAAGTTATAGATGCAGCCATACAAAACTGGCACTTAGCAGTAATGTTCTCTTTATCTTTTGAACTTACAAACAGTGGATGGTACTATAAGCTATTCATCTCAACGCTTAATGTATTGTTAGAGGAAGAGGACGAAACAAGTTTATTCACACAAAGGAAAAAGTAAGATTAATAATAGGCTCCCGTGTTTGATTCGCAGATTTTTTTGTTCTTTTACGTTCTCAGTGGCACATAAGGCTTCAAGGTACAGGCTTGA